CACCTGGAGAAATTTCTGTGAGGACTATCTTGGAGGGGAAGGGGAGGGGAATATGTTGGAAGTTTGCTTTGTCTGAAACAGTGCTACTGGAATCCTGAGGCGGAAGTGATGGATAGTACCAGGGTACCGATGTCGATGAGTCCGTAAAGGTGCAGAACTGTGTGAAGGCTCATACGGCACTTCGAAGGCTGGTAATATTTTTTGAGGTTCTCATCTTTTTTGTGGAGAACACCCAAATTTGGCAGTGTTTCGTGAGAGTCGTTCCGAAATGGTATGTTTACTAAGAGGTGCACCACTAATTCGGCCCAATCCTATAGATATACCATAGAAGGGTCACCGGTAGAGCAAACTACTCGAAAATGGACACCTTTCACACGGGGAAAGAGACGAAAACTCGACCTGAAAAACTCAAAAAAGGCAAACTGCAAATGCAGAAATGTTCACATACCTTTTAATGATGTATGAATACGAAGAAAAAGAATCGCGGGAATTTCCGCGATTACCATAACAGAGAATAACTATTCAAAAATACTCGCAAGGTGCCTATCCCCTTCAATGTGCCACTCACTGATAGATTTCTGACAAAGATACACTGGAAGACAAGTCACTAGAAGAAAACGGGGAAAAATAAAGAAAGAATAATTTCAACGCGAGCGAGCAGTCTAACAAATTGCCTGTTGAAGTCGTCCTTACACTTGTTCATTTGCACTTTTGAACAGTTTTTGCTGCGCTCATAAGAAATACAACTGCTCACTACCTTCTTTGTTACTACGTAAACTCCGTAACTGAATCAACGGTCACGCGCGGAATATAAATACCCAACCTACAGATCTTTCTACACTTCTCGTACTCAAAATTGCCTCTTCCAACCCCTTGTTTCCAGGAATTGTTGGCTAGTCCCCATTATGAGCGAATTCAGCCCAAACAATGTCTTCCAGTGAACTGTTTCTTCTGGATATGTGTGAAATTTCCGATGCTCACTGAATTCAGCCATGCAAACCCTCCAGTAGTGATGAGGTGTCTTTGGCCATACAAATGAAGCTGTCCCAATTACTTCTGTACCTCATTATGCTTGCGACATACGGAAAAAGGTAATCGTTCTCATAAAGCGCTGGGAAGTAGACTTTTATTGGCCGTGGGAGAACAAGTCTTTCATGCTTCTCAACATAACACGTCCTCGTCAACCTCACTAAACCTCGTTCCTAGTCCAATTTCAGAGTTTAATTGCTCCCGCTCTCTAGTTATAGACTGCTGTTTCAACATGTAAGTCTGGCGAAATGGCAGTGAAATGAAAACATCCACGTAACCGGCTTGACCTGACATTTCTGTGAATACTATACCTTCTATTAGCCTCACGAATGCTGCTTTTCCCACCAACGTGCCCGCTGGCTGGTTCGCCAACTCACGTAGAGGTTTCCATAGCCATTCTTAGCCCTAAGGCAGCGTTCAGACTTCGCGACGGCAGCGCTTCGGTCGCGCGTTCGACGCGATCGATGCAGTCGAAAGCATGCGCATCGATCGCGTCCAACGCGCGACCGAAGCGCTGCCGTCGCGAAGTCTGAACGCTGCCTAATGCCTGTCTTCTTAGAGTCGCACAGATCGTGTTCTTGTTAATTCACTAGTATAACCGTGCCGCTAATGTCGCCTTTGTGTATGGCGGGTTCAGGAAGTGCATGCAGAGGGTTGAGCTGCACTCCTAGCAAATTGCAACTACATAGAAACTGTTTCTTTAACTCCTCTGCCCACATCAGAGTTTAGAGATAATTGATTAGCGTTCATCGTGGAAGTTTCATCGCGCTTCTTGCTGATAAGTTTTCAATTTGTCCTTCATAACGGCCTTACTGACAAGGAAAACTTACCCTGAGTTGTCAGAAGAATAATCGCCGTTAATCAATCCCTTTGTGGGATGCGGCACGCATTCTACTTCCATTCAGAATCGTAGTGGCTTATTGAATGCGATGTGGCCTATACAATGACTTGCGGTGGCCAGCCGATGTACAAGTCAGTGTTTTATCCTCCCAGACGAATCTGGTACCAATTTACCGTCCCCGGAGGGTAGAAGGCTTGGTTGGCCTGGGCGGGAGTCGACCCGGGATTCGAACCCAGGACCGCGCGGGTGGTAAGCGCGCCACTTGTCACTACATCCACCTCCGGCTCAGGAATATTGGAAAGCAAATGTTGGCTGTGTAGCACTTTTACTGCTTCAGGCGGAAGCTCTACGTTTCTGATGGCGAGGGTCTCAAAGCAAAAAGAGGAGCATACGAGCGCATTCCAGGAGTCAAACCGGGACCGGTTCCTATCCGGGCGACCAGGTTCCAAAGTTATCATTTCACTCGCGGTCGGCTGATTTCAACTATTTTGAATGCAGAGCCGGCTGAGAGTTGAATCCTCCCAGTGGGATCTGCTACGAACTCCCGAGCTTGTTCAAGAGGTGGTACCAGATCTGGGTTTGGAGGATAAGAAACAAATCGTTCATAGGTTGAGCCCCGCAAATTATTTGTTAGCCACATCACATTCATAGAGCCACTTCATAATAATTCTGTACGCGATTAGAATGTGTGCTGCATCAGAACAAGGACTGATCAAAGGCGAAAGCGCTATCCACAGCCGTCTATGGATTGGCCTCTGCAATTCAAGGTGCTTAAGTTCAGGAAGATCCTACTATTTCGTATCGAAGTCACATGCGTGACGCATCCTTTCGGTGACTCAACGCCTGGTAGTTTCCTATTTTATATTTGTCGTCAGCATTCATTCTTTGACATTTTTGGCATTTATCGTTGCATATCGTTTGCTCGACGCCCCATCACCTCATAGCAGGACAAATGCGTTGTTTGAACCCGACAGTTTTTCCTATTTTAGCGAATTTTGTGCACTCCTTATCTCGCAGATTGGAAGGCGTTGCTGCGTGCTTTTACTGTAAATTTGTGCCACTAGGATAGGGTTTCGTACAAGATGTTCTCTGCGGAAGTACATGTATGTTATGCCTGAACAATGGTTACGCTACTCCATCTGTGCACGAAATAGCAATGCATCTCTCGGCCAGCACGGCAGCCTCGTTCATATGAAGTACGCAGCACCTCACCCGCACCTTCGCAGCCATGTGTATCCCGCTGACAAATTCCGGACAGAATCGTAACAAGCGGCTTGTGTCAACGCTCGTTTCTTGTTCTATTTCCGCTTTACCTTACGTGCTGCCCTTTCACTGCCTTTCTTCGAGACGTCGCTAGAGGTATGCTCACGTAGCTTTTCATAGTGGCAGCGTGTGGCCGTTTGCTTATCAACCGGCATAGCCACCCGCTTACTAGTCCGTCGGTCTAGCGAGATTCGCAAGTGACTGATCGCGCCGAGCCAATATGACGTAAGTCCCTTCTCCCCATTCTTACTTCTCACCACTACATGTTGCATGTAGGCGTAGATGGTGTAGTGGCAAGTGGCACACTTACCACACGCCCGATTCAGGGATCAAATCCTGAAACGGCTCCCGCCTGAGCCAATCGAACACTCGACTGTTCCCGCCAGAAACGCAAATTAGCCAGATGAGAATAAGAAAGTGATTTACAATCGCAGGAGCATTTTTTCAAACTTTCGATGTGGGAACGTTCTCCAAATTCTGTTTCTTTCTGGGTATCGTTTTTTGCTCAAGTTATGTGTTGGGTCTGAGGGGGGGGGGCTTGTCCACGGACGCGCTTGTGATTATGGTGGCGGTACACCCCAACAATCCAAGCAGAGACGTACCTTCGTGATTTCTGCAAACGGTAGAGTGTGTGACGGCGCGTGAATTGGGATGCTGCCAAGGCACCCCTTCCAGCAGTGATGCTTTCCTGTGCACAAAACAGAAGATTTTCTGGCTAGGATCCAAATCACCTTCCCCCCCCCCCCCTCGAAAACGCAGTCACGATAGCGGATTTCTTTATGAATCTTTTTACGATCTTTTCCAACTCCAGTAAGAACAGCGACGGTGTAACAGAGTTTTTGGGCCCATTTTCTGACAATATTATGCATTGGCGAGTTAAGGCGCACAAAATGCTGCATCGTGGTGTCTCACGTGCGGCGTGCACGACAAGCCGTTGGAAGGATCTTTAGGTGTGCAGTTCTACACACACCCAATGGCTACGCTCTGCATTTTACATGTCGTCATCTATGGCCGTGTTTATAGACAGCTCCAGCAACAAGCTCAGAAAGCCTTTTCCTGACAGTTGAAAACAGACTGTACACTCACCACACTCACCTCTAGAAGATGCCATTTGCTTGGTGAATGGGTATGCAGCTATTACAGCGCGCCATTTTCTCTGCATAAAAGTGCGTCGGAACAGGACTGGAGGGCACTGATACCCGATGCTGTCTCCCGATCCCGCCCCTGTTATCTTCAAAGTGTAGCAATTGCGTCAGTTTCAAAGTTCCGGAGCGCTGTCAGCGGTAGAGATGGAACAAATGTGAGTGGCGCTTTCGGCTCACGGGCCGTACAGTAGAGTAGGCGAAGTCCCCGAACAACACTCCGGCATCGCGACCCTCCAGAATTTTTCCGAGTCCTTTTGAGTAAAGAATGTTGCACGGTACCGCAGCCGCAGCCCCACTCGCCCCAAGTAGCAAGAAGTAAGTGTGCAGTTTGCTCTCAATACAGAAATACAGAAATGGAGGCTGGAAGATTTATCGCAGGCAAGCCAATCAAATGTAGCTATTTGATGTGGACCTTTTAGTAAGCGCTTCATCGTTCGTGTCGAACGAGCGATCGAAGCGCTGTCGTCGCGAAGTCTGAACGCTGCCTCGTCGAGGAAGCGTGGTAAGTCCAGTCGCACGAGTTACGAAGTATGAAGTCGCATGGCCTGAGAGATTTATCCAGTGCCAAAATGATATTCACTAAATTGGTTTATTTCAGAGAACGAGACAAACGAGGGCGATTCCCAACATTATCAGACGGACCTCCAGGAATTAGCCCAGATCAAGTCCAACGGCGTTCTTTGCCAATTCTACAATCCATACACGAAACTTTAGCACGACGATCACCTCAACATCCACGACGTGTGATTTACGTACTCCATCGACCGATATTTCTCAGAAAAGGTCGAGTTGTTAAAGCTCCGCAGTACTATCCTGAAGAAAGCTTGTCACAAGTTAATGAAGTACAAGAATACGGAGACCAGGGGGGCTTCATGCCCTCAGCAGCTCCAGCCCAGGAAATGCCCTATGCACCGCCTACACCCGCATTTAGTGGTGGACGTGGGTCGTCAGGATCGTCATATAGTGCACCTGGTTCGCAATTCGGTTCCTCCAGCTCACAATATGGTCAATCTAGCCAGCAGTATTCGGGAGGGCAAGAATACGGATCTCAGAGAGGCTCCATGCCCTCAGCAGCTGCAGCTCAGGAAGCCCCCTATGCTCCACCGACTCCACAATTTAGTGCACCTTCCGCTCCGTCTAGCTCTTCTTACAGTCAACCTGGTTCTTCCTTCACTCCTGCCAGTTCACGATTCAGCACACCTAGTGCTCAATATGGTGGATCTGGCTCGACAGTTACAGTCCAAGAAATGCCCTATGCGCCCCCTACACCCGCGTTCGGTGGTGCGCGTGGCCCGTCAGGTCCGTCATATGGTTCATCTGGCTCGGCAGTCACAGCCCAGGAGCTCCATATGCGCCTCCTACACCCGCGTTCGGTGGTGCGCGTGGCCCGTCAGGCCCGTCATATGGTTCATCTGGCTCGGCAGTCACAGCCCAGGAGCTCCATATGCGCCTCCTACACCCGCGTTCGGTGGTGCGCGTGGCCCGTCAGGACCGTCATATGGTTCATCTGGCTCGGCAGTCACAGCCCAGGAAGCTCCATATGCGCCTCCTACACCCGCATTCAGGTGGTGCGCGTGGCCCGTCAGGCCGTCATATGGTTCATCTGGCTCGGCAGCCACAGCCCAGGAAGCGCCATATGCGCCTCCTACACCCGCGTTCGGTGGTGCGCGTGGCCCGTCAGGACCGTCATATATAGCGCTCCTGGTTCGCAATTGCAGTATACTGAAGAGGGTTCCATGCCCTCAGCAGTCCCCGTCCAGGAAACTCCCTATGCTCCTCCGACTCCACAGCTTGCTGGACGGTCAATTTGGCCAAGGTGGTCAGGGGCAGGGTACGGCCAATCTTTCATGCCGGAAGTCCCACAAGAGGTGATGGAGGAAGTGGTATCAGAAGAGTCGCCATACGCGCGCCGAAAAGGCCGACGCCGTTCCTAGAGAAAGAGAGCTGGTGACCTATATTGTTTCGTTGTGCTTTGTGCGAGTATCGAATGAATTTGTCTCCTGAAAATTCAACTTTGGATAGTTTTGTATGTTTTTGAAGCGAATGTAACGAACATGCCTTAAGATTACTGCGATTCGCGAACATTGTATGTATACATCGCATACTAGGATATTGTATTCCTTGAATACTAAATTTTCGAACTGTTTTTTCTACTTTTTCTACTGGTACCTAATATACTGTAAAAATACAGACGAGAAATGTAAAAAGTTTTTTCTGAAAGTTCTCTCGTCGCAATATATTGCACTGTTGTGAACCATGACAGTTTTCGTTATATTCTGCCAACAGGCTCTTAGACGAAACTCTTTATTGTTATAGGTTTGACGTTTCGACTAAAATATAGGCCTGGGAATCAGCACGGTCGTGCGCACGGGAAATATGAATGGGAGGGGGGGGGTATTTGGTCCGGGAAAATTTTTTGACAGTTGATTTTTCCGTTTTCACATATTGTTGTTGCTGGAGTTTTCCCCTCCTCTACCAGTTGTTACAGGGAGTTGGCCGTGAAAGTCATGTAAATTCTGCGGTGCTTGTAGCGTTTGACGAGCCTGCACCCGGCTTCTAGATAATTCCTGGATAAGTGGACTCGGAATAGTCCGCCTCAGGTGGGGGGGGGGGACAATGCGGGGTAGATTTCTGTGAGCTCAGTTATCCGGCAAAGATACTGCACAAAAATAAGCAAGATGTGTTTCACCAGAAACTGATACCAATGTTCAAAGGGTATGCGGAGCGGGTTAGTGCAGTAAGGCTTTTTTATCACGGCTGCGGCTGTAAACCCTATCGCCTAGAGATCCATGGAAGTGTACATGGGAGAACCCGCTCGCAAAATTATTTCTCATGATTACATAGTATAAGAAAAAGGAAATAGTATAGGAAATAAGCAAAATAATCCAGGAAAGGTAGGGGTACAGTGCGAACACCTGGCATCTCTTCAAGTGATTCTACTTCCATAAAGCGTGAGAACCGCACCGTTTTGGCCACCCAGCTAGGCCTAACAATATCTTCACCACATTTCCAACAATAGTCTACCGAAACCTTGCAATTCTGGATGCCATCCAACATATAAAAGATAGGAAACAGAAATGACTTAATCTCATAACTCTGGCAAGATACTGCTGTGCTGAGCTTCATACAATATATTGCTGACCGATGTCGAAGCTCCTAACTTATTTTCACTTTATTAGCGAGCTTTAAGCATATAATGCCTTCGTCAGCTCTTAAATTACAATTCTTAAGTATATAACAGCTACAACAAAGACTGTGATACATTAAGAAATTACGTACCAGCGGTGAAAAGGGGACTATCGGTGGGGCTACTGGGACACAAAATGACCCGCGCCGATATTTGAGGTATTGGACTGCAATGATTGGGCGACGAGCCCTAGTAGGTCACGTAGTTTCTCTTGCCTTAATCTCTTGTCTCAAGCACTGTATCTCCGGCGCCTCCAGTATATCCGCAGCGGTCATACCAAATGTCTATGTAGTACACTCACATCGGACGATCATTGCGTTCCGGGTGAAACCGCTTCGTGAATAGCAGCGAGGTTCGTCAAAGCTCTTCTACAGGAGGAGGGGCTTAAAAATTCACACTTTCCTTTCTCGACAAGGCCACGTAAGTTACACTTAATTAAATTCTGATTGGACATTTCCACCATCATATTCAACAGCACATTGTACACTATCATGATACTCCGCCACAGCCTTCTGGACGAGCGCCATCGAGAGGTTCTGCCGGTTCACGAAAAAAATATCGGTCATCCCAACTCAAGGTCCATTCCATAGACCCGTGATTTGACGACTGCGGTGAAGCTGATATCCTGGACCGTAGCGACGTTGTCGGAGCTGCTCGGTGTTGGAAGGTCTTCCAGACAAGAGTGCCGGTCTCCGGGTAGCTGTCCATGGGTGGGCTCCATACAAGAAGTTTCGCAGCTTTCATTGGCCTTCTCCAGTCCGGTTGTTATTGGAGATGAGTTCATATTTTGGTGTACATGAAGGTGGTAGGCGAGAGCCTCCCTCCTGCTTATTGAGGAACTCTTGGGTATCTTCCGCCCTGATACTCGTATCCACGTCTTCTGTCTGCGCTGCGAAAACTTTACTGATATGTGACTCGTCCAGTCGGCTCGTCCAGTCGATTTCTTAATCGTGCGAGCGTCAGTGACAGAGGAGGCTACAGCTACTTACTAAGCTTTTTCGTCTCACGTACTAGCGAAGGAAGAAGGCATATATGTCCGAAGAGCTTGTTAACGGAAAGTGTGAATACAAGTCAGCGAGTAGCTTTGAACACACTACTTACAATCAGAAATGTCGTCATTGTGATGATGCTCTTCAAATCAGCCGTAATGTGTAAAACAGGTATACAGATTGGGTTTGGCATCTTTTTGTAGGGTACAATAATGCTGGTGTCATAGTGCGATAGGGATCCACCAGCACTAATTAGTCAAGAACTTATAAACTTGTTGTTTTTAGTCCAGCCAGTTTTAGGAAAGACAACAACTCCCTTATGGAACCCGTTTGAGAAGGCTCGCTCCTACGTTGCCAGCAACAAGCCTCTAGCAGTATGATGAAAACACTGCAGCTGAGTTCTACTTCAGCTGAAAAAGGGATGAACCCATCTCATGCTGCCTCAGTTGTGAAAACCTGAGGATAGAAAGCTTGACGATGGGTTTATCACCAGTATAGACTCCTGTCATCCTTCCGGTGTGTCCTACTTTCATCCTCTATCAACCCCGCCCCTTCCGTGTTCTATAATTACCGAATGTCATTGCTTTTTGCTCATGCAAAAGAAACTGGTTCGCAGAATGCCGATTCATGATTGATGGGCATCACTGCAGTCGTGAATGTCATCTTGTCGTTGTAAATGAAAAACTATCGCAGTAAACCTTCATTTGTGTACTGCATTAAAAAGCAAAATAGTTCAACAATAAGAACCAACATGTCGAAAAATAACAGATTTGTCATTTTATCGGGACAGGGAAGTGGAGGAAGGGATCACGACTACACATAAAACCGCGCGACATCGCGATCGCAGGCCCGGCGGCGGATTTCTGAATAGGGCATTAATACAAGACAACCAGACTTCAGAGTAAGGAGAGCCGCACCTTCATTCAGCCCTCGAAAAAGCATGTTGAGGTATTCCCTCCCTCCCCCT